AGGTTGCTGTGCCTGGCTCAGGCCACCATTCTGGTAGGGGTGGTGACTGGACCCATCATGCAGGCCTGGCTCCCAGTCTCAACCATGTCATGCACTTTTAGGATGACCTTGAACAAATCACTGGCCACCCAGAGTCTAAGGGACACAGCTTTCCACCTCCCTGTGTGAAGCCCCACAATAGCTTTACAGGGCTGGGCAGGAAGAAGTCACTGTAGCTGTCAATCGCAATGCTGCCCAGGTAGGTGTGTGCCACAGAGAGGAATCCAAGGGTCTTCTTGAGAGTTCTGGAGTGTTCCAGAGTATGTGCCCCTTAGACTGCAAAGTCCCCAGTGGGCGCAGAAGGGGCTTGCTTGCTTTCTGACGGTCCTCCAGGGTCAGGCTGTGCACACTACTGGTATTCCTGGCCCTGTGGCGGCTTCCACCAGGAGAAGCTCAAGGGGAGGAGGGGCTGAGGTGTCCTCCCTCACCCGCGGTCTGCCTCATCCTCAGCCCTGGTTTCGCTAAGAGCTGGCTGTCAGAGGAAGGTACAGAGAATGGTTAGCTCTATCCTGTGCTTGGACCCTCTGGTCTGGATGTCAGGTCTCTCTGATGGCCCTGGTTGACCCTCAGTTAGTGGCTAGTCAAAGTTCAGGGCGGGCCATGGACAGAACCCCAGCCTCCCACCCAGGGAGTGCTATCTTCCCTGGCAGACTGCGCTCCAACCTGGACAGAGTCGGAGGAGCTAAAGAGCCGTGATCAGCTGCCACCAGTAATTAGGTGTCACCACAGTGACAGAAAAAGACCAGGGGAAAGTGGGGGTGCTGTCCATAGGACACATGAGTACTCAGGTGCTCTTGGGGTCCCCCACCTAACTGGGCACCATGGGAACGGACCAGGGGAAAGTGGGGGTGCTGTCCATAGGACACATGAGTGAGTACTCAGGTGCTCTTGGGGTCCCCCACCTAACTGGGCACCATGGGAACTAAAAGCACTGACAACTTCTGGGTTTGCCTTAGTGACCGCTCCAAGCTCCAGTTCCTTCCCAGAGAGAAGATGCTCCATTGTTGTGTCTGGGCCCTTGAGGGAGACTGAGGCCAAAACAGGTGGCCAGACCTCCCCTCACCTTTCCACAGGCCCCAGAGCTTGAGGTCCAAGGTCCCCCCAAAACCACTAATCATGTGGCTGAGGAAGCAGCTCTGGTTCTCCTGGCCACAACATCACCTGAATAGGTCACAGAGAACCACAGGCTGCGTGTCCCTGAACTCTGAGCTGTGACCCAGAAGAAAACTGGAACAGCCTCCAGAGACTGCTGAGGTCACCGTCACAAGCTGAGGATACCCTGGCCTTGATCTCCAATTCCTCTCAAAAGACAGGGAAGAGCCCCAAGAATTCAGCACCACTGCTACCTAAAGCCAGCACTGTGGGACCCAGTGAGGGGACTTCACAGAGGCCCAACAATCACAGCTGTTTGTGTTCAGTTACAGACCGTGGTCCCAGGGGTTGCAGCCTCTCACCTGGCTCTTAGGGAAGACCTGCCACATCTAAGAGTGGGGCTTTGTCTCTGGCAGGGCAATGGCAGCCACAGCTGGTGTTTATGTTTATATTTAAAGGACGTAAAGTGGGGCTGGGGAGATGGATCAGTCAGTACAAGCACCAGGACCCAAGTTTAAGTCCAGAACCCTTGGACTGGGGCAGGGAGCTGGGTATAATAGGCACTTGTAATCTGATTACTATATGGTAAGGGGAAAGCAAATCCCTGCAGCTTACCAGCCAGTCAGTCAAGCCTACTTGGCAAGTTCTAGGCCAGTGAGAGACCGTCTCAAAAAAACAAAGCAGACAGCATCTGAGGCACAATACCTGTGGTTGTCTTCTGGCCTCTTCATGTGCATGGTCATGTGCGTGCACACATGTACACACACTATGTAAAACCTAACCTCTCCCTCACCCCATTACACTAGCTGTATCTCCAGGTCTTCACAGTCACATATACCTGGCAATTGCCATATATTCCCTCATGACAAACATTCTACTGAGCAGGGATGTCAGGTGTCGACATCTATAAAATCCCATTGGACCATGCGGCCTACGGTACTGGAGTTGGCCTCCTCCCATTGCTGATCCCATGAGCTGTCAGTACCTTCTGCCCAGAGTTGATAAGTGAGCTGAGGGGTTTTCCCCCGTGTGAGGAGAGGGCCAGAGCCTGATGCTGACCTTATCCCCTTGGAGGATCCCAGCCAGGAGACAGCCATCCCGCTATGATCAGGAATTGCCCTTGATCCTGAGTAGACCCCCCTGCCCAGCCAATCATGTAGATGACAGTGCACAAACCCAGCCAGGACTGGACAGAGCCCTGGGCACTCCAGGCAGCTCACTGCCCATCTCTGGGCCGCACTTTCTGCGGAGAGATAGGGCTAATCTCTGGTTTGAATGTTCCTTTTCAACTTTATGCAGCTGTCTAGCTGCCATGGTAACAGAGTTTGGAGGTAGGGCCTCTAAGTGGTGATCAGGGCACCAATGCCAGGAATGGACTTATTATAAAGGAGAGGGCTGGACTGGGGGTAGAGTGCTTGCCCATCACACACAAAGACCTGGATTTGATCACCAGCACTGCACAAACCAGACACAGAGCCACACATCTGTAATGCCAGCCCTTGGGAGGTAGAGGCAGGAGGATCAGAAGTTCAGGGTCATCTTTGGTGACATGGTAAGCTCAAGGCCAGCCTAGGCTATAAAAGACCTTGTCTTAAAACTAAATAAATGAAACAAGGAGGTGGTGTCGGCCCTGCTGACCTTCTGCTGTGTGATGTGTGCTGAGAAAGCCCTCAGCAGGCCATATGCTCTCGAACTTTGCACTTTCTAAACTGAGCCTGCAGATCTCTGCTCACATACATCACCAAACTTCAGGCTTTCTGTAACACCAGCCAGGCTAGAGACCCATATCACAGTTAATATTGCTAACTTGGCAGAATCTAGCATCACAAAGGAAACAAGCCTCTGGGCACACAAGTGAGGCATTATCTAGATCAGGTGAGTCTCTGGGCATGCCAGTGATAGAGGATCTGGAGTAACTGAGGTGGGGAGACCCATCTTAACTGTGGGTGGCACCATCCCAGAGGCTGGGGTCCTGGACAGGATAAAAAGGAAACAGTGAGCTGAGCACCACTGTTCGTCTCTCTGTGTCCTGACTGTGGGTGTATGTGGCCAGCCACCTCATGTTCCTGCTGCCAGAGTCAACCCTTCCTTAAGTTTAATTCTTGTTGGGTATTTTGTCATAGCAATAAGACAAGTAACTAGTAAAACCTCCTTTGGCCTTCCCTGGCTGCAGGTCGATCCCCAAACATGCTTCCTGTCCCTCCCAACTCAGGATCCCATGCACTGGGGATTCTCACTTAACATATTCTTACCATCTGGTGCCCCTAAAACACAGGTATTTGGGGGACAGGGGCTTGGATTATGGTCAGCGTCAGGCATGCTGTGATGCTCAGTGAGTGTGTGATAGGACCATCAGTCCTGTAGCCTCTGAAGCTTTTTGTAGCCCTGGGCCACTGTCTGCTCATCCACACACAGCATGATCCTGTCAGCGTCTCTCTCTCTCTCATCTCTCACACACACACACACACACACACACACACACACACACACACACACAGAGGCCCCTCTACAGCTCCATACAAGAGCTGGTTCATACCTACCAGGTGTGTCCAGGACTCTAAGCCCAGTCTGAGATCCCTTCCCCTCCCCCACTGGCTCTACCTGGGACTTTGCTAGGTGCCCCAGTCTTTCTTAGGCCTCCATGCTTACCCTATAAGCCCCTGGGGCTGCTCTGTCCGGTTGGGGCAGGGCTGAGAGTCACATTTACTCTTAATGTACCCATGTGCCTGTTTTTAAAAGCAGACTTGATAATTTTTTGTTTGGTGTTGGCTGTTTCTTTTTTGCAGTACTGGGGGATTGAACCCATGGCCTCACACATGCTAAGCAAGCACTTTACCCTTGAGCTATTATACCCCAACCCTGTTTCCCTCTTTTTTATGAGTGTTTTTATTTTTGTATTTGCTGTTTTTGTTTGTTTGTTTTGGGACAGGGTCTTGCTGTGTAGCCCAGACTGGCCTGGAACTCTCTATTACCCAGGATGACCCTAAACTTGTGATCCTCTTGTATCAGCCTCCTGAGTGCTACAATTACAAGATTGTGTCTTACTACCATATTCAACAAGGGTTTTTTGTTTTGTTTTGTTTTGTTTTTAAGGAAAATAAACAAAAATAGCAATCAAACACAACGGGCTCCCAGGCCTGCTTGGAGCCAGCACCTCGCTCCCTGCCACACGGGGCAGGAGTCACTGCAGCCCACAGGCCATGACCAGGATGCACCCTGGGAGCAGGCGGTGTCTTACTACCATATTCAACAAGGTTTTTTTTTTTTTTAAGGAAAATAAACAAAAATAGCAATCAAACAGAACGGGCTCCCAGGCCTGCTTGGAGCCAGCACCTCACTCCCTGCCACACGGGGCAGGAGGAGTCACTGCAGCCCACAGGCCATGACCAGGATGCACCCTGGGAGCAGGCAGGCTTGCCAGGGACTCTGTGGTTTCAGTGGGTAGCAGGGAGACACTCATACCCCTCCCAGATGCCAGCTCTTCAGCCCTGAGAGTTTCCTCAGCTGAAACCTAGGAACAAGGACACTTAAGGACCAAAGAGAGGCAGAGTCCTGGGCTGATGGACCCAAGAAGGGTAACAGGGTGGCACTCCTGGACTGCAGGAATGTGGTTGTTCTAGAGACCAGAGATGACAGGCAGGACAGGAGCAGCGTAGGCAGTGGGGGCTGGAAAGCCTGGAAACACTTTAATATTGATGTATGCATGCCATCCACATAGAAAAAGATCTCTTCCCTGTAGGACCAACACTTTAATGCTGACAGGTGCATGCAGTCCACATAGAAAAAGATCTCTGCCCTGCAGGACCAAGCTCAAGCTAGGCAGTAGAGGAGGCCCATGGGAGACCCCCCTGGCCACCCGACCAGCCAGCCCAGGGTCTGTCTGCGGGCTCGCCCTTACCGCAGCTCCGGGTGGTCCAGGGCATTACTGAGTCTGCCCCTTTGGCTTCTGGCATCTCCTTCAGCCAAAGGGAGCCACGAGCGGGGTCTGGTGGAACTGGCACCCCGAGTGAACTGGAAGACATTGAACACATGGTAAGTGAGTTTGGGGGCAGGATGGGAGCAGTGAAAGGGTGAGGGGGCAGAACTCTCACTCAGCAAGAATCTGGGCTCCCACAGCCTCTAGCAGCCCTGAGACCCAGGCAGTGTGTCTAGAGCCAGACTCAAGGGCCCAAGGCCTAGCAGAGGTTGTGCCTCTGACCCAGAAAGCAGCGACCACTGTGTGGCACTCGCATACAGATGGTTCTCAGGATGCCCAGCATGCCACAGCCTTCATCAGGCAAGTATGGTCACTATGTGTGTATGGGGGGGGGGAGCCCAGTCAGTCAACAGTATCAGCTTCATCACCACCAGACTCTGGGGGTGATATCAGAGCCCCATTTGCCAGTGTGGCCATCCTGGTCATCAATGTCAGCTGCTATGGACACCACCCACCAGGTTATGTGGAATGACAGCTACACTTCATAATCTCATTCCATGGTTAGCACTGTGGCTGTGCCCTACAGCTGCACCCCAAGGTAAGACTGGGCCATCAAGGGAGAACTCCAGCCACGGCCAAGGACTTCAGCTCCACCCTGGCTGGTCTCAGGCAGCTGCCTTCCCTCAGGCAGGCAAGGCCATGGCCTTTGCCCAGGCCACAGCGGCCACTGTGGGTGATGAACTACTGAGCGTGGGTGGGTAAGCAGCAGCTGTAGGGCTTAGCGAACTCTGAGGCACAGAAGACAAGTGTGTGAATTGGTATGTGTGGGCTGTGAGCATAGCCTCACTCCACTCTCCTTTCTCCCCAGAGAACCATCTGTCCCTGGCACACAGTGACCTGGACTCCACCTGAGTCACTAAACATGCCACCCACACCTGTGTCCCGCAGTCTGCAAGGCCATGGGTGTCTGTCCCAACCTGGTAGGATACTTTGTGGGGCTGGGATATGGTACAGCCATACTCAGCCCCTGCCTGGCACAAAGGGTCTTCCATGGCAGATGGGTGTATGTTGAGGCTGTAAGATACCATAGGCACACAGACATGGACGTTTCCAGAAAACAGGAGCAGCCTTGGGGTGGAGTTGAACTCAAGGATGGGTGGAGCCAAGCCCTGTAGACAGGTGGCTGGAATCCCTAGTGTCCTTCACCATGAGATGGGTAACAGACTCAGCCAACACCAAGGACCTGTGGCTGGAGGAGAGGGTCCCACTGTGACTTAGGAGGCAGCCTGAGAGGCAGTGAGTCCAGGCCCTAGATGATGTCCCTGAGGGGCACAGGAGGAAAACGACAAGCCTGGAGAAGGAAGTGCTGACCTTGGTCCTCAAAGGTGAGGTGGCAGGGCTTGCCTGGCTATGGGCCCCCACCCACCAAGTGGGACGGGATAGGTGGGGCCTTGGAGCCCAGAGACCCCATCTTTCTGGGCAACGGGTCCTGAATATGATTCCCATCTCTTCTGGCCTCTCCTGGGCTAGTGTGCCGGGTACCAGTCCTGCAGTACCCAGTGCCCCACACAGGTGGGCTTGTCTAGGATGGGAACACCGTGTGTAGAAGGCACAGGCATGTCCAATCTCTGTGTGCCCCAGAATAGCCATGACTATACCCAACATAAAATCATAAACTTAAAACATTATGAGATTGGGGGGGGGGCATTTTTCAACTCTATTGGGCAAGTTGGACACCCCTGGAGGGAAAAGCCTGGCCACACCCTCCGGTTTTGTGCCAGGAATGCCAGCACCAAGACCTTCTGAGCCTGAGCCCTTGGGGACAGACCTAGCCTGTCCATCTTAGAGCTTGGGATACTGAAATTAACCCTCCAGAAAGTCGATGCCGTCTGCACTGGAGTGCTGTGAGCTCATGAGCAGAAAAGTTCAGCCCAATGCTGCCCCCTACTGGCCATCACAAGTCATGGGGCCACAGGCCTTGCCACCCAGGAAACACCAAACTCATAGAATCAAGGGGGTAAGGAGCAGAGGGGGTGGGTTTCCCAGGGGGTCGGCAAGAGAAGCATCAGGAGAGAAGTATCCCAGCCTCAGGAGGAGCAGGGACAGTGGGTAGGCAGATTCCCTAACCTGGGAAGTCACAGAACAGACACAATGGAAATTACACACACACACACACACACACACACACACACGGTTGGAAACATTTCAGGGGTGGAGAAGCAGCCACCCCCTGGCTTCCATACCACAGCTACCTGGACCATGGCTTCATCCACAGCCTGTTTGTGCATTGAGCCTGTGGCATCTGCTCCCCACTCCTGGTCTATCTTTGTATGAGAGGGACCGTCTTCTAAACCCACTAATCAGCTGCTAAGCTGAAGACTGCCCAAGCTACAGGTGAGCATTATGACACAACCTCTGTGGCAGGGAACCAAAGTGAGGTCAGGGGTTATTCTGGTGGACTTTGCCAAGCACAGACACAAGGCCAGCGGAGCCCCTATGGTGGCTGCCTTCTAGCCTCCTCCAGAAGGCCCACCCTTGGCTCTGGCCATAACTCCGAAGACAGACTGTTCAGGCTGGGTTAGAGTTACCTACCCAGGGTGTTTCAGTCTAAAGACAGCAAAGTGAAAGGAGCCCGGGGAAGTCCCTATGACAGCTGACAGTGTAGCAAACCATGGGACTTGGGGACTGGAGACCATGGGACAAGGCCCAGATCCAGGTGACAGAACAATAGGCAAGGGGCAGAGAGATGAGCAACATGTCCTCAAGTCCTGAGATGTTTCGAGCCCCTGGCTGCAAACAGAAAGGAAGCACCTAGCTCTTTTGTGGGCAACCTGTGTCTTCAGCATCAGCCCAAGTTGAAATGCCAGGTCCCCAGCAGGACAAAAGCCTCCCAGGCCACCAACCTGGGTTTGGTGGGGGCCGCTATGACTGGGTGTGGTAGAGCAGGGTGAACACACCTAAGAGCTGGGAGGTGGCCAGGTGAGGTGGGCCGGGGGCACAGTGAGGGTCATGAACCTCACAGAAGGGACTTCAAATGCACCTGTGTCAAAGACCAAGAGAAGACTGAGGCCAGAGCAGAAGCCAGAAGAAGGTCCAGGGACAAGGGTCTGAAGAACTCAGACATGGGACAGTGAACCTGGACAGGCTGACGAACCCTGTGTCAAAGACCCCAGGTACAAGCAGCCTGCTAACAACCAACAAGGGGGAGACAAGAAGACAGGGTCTCCCAGGGACCTGGGCCAGTGCAAAGGAGTGCCTTTTGGTGAGGAGTCTAAGAGGTGTCTCTCTGCCCTGCAGGGGCTCAGGTCAGGACCCACCGTGAGCTGCCCAGTTCTAAGCTGAATGAGAGCCCCTGTGTGACACGGGCCAACATCAGAGGTAACTGTGTCACTCCCCACCTGACCTGGCTGTACCCAGACTCCTGGCCATGGCCCTCAGACCAGCATGAGGGCCCTCCACAGATGTGAGAGATAGCCTCACAGCACCCGGGGACTCACTCACCTCCTCGTGCAGTCACTGAGGGCCTGGAGGGCAGCCATCTCTCTCTGCAGCCTCATCTCCAGCTCCCAATGTCTCTGCTCCATGGCCACTTTGGAAAGGGCCTCAGGACTTGATGAGCCGGCGTGGCAAGTTGGAATGTGAGGGGTGACCTGAGACTCTAGGGCAGGAGTGCTGGAAAGAAGACCTGCAGAGATGGGGGGCTTTACTGGCTTTATTGCTCCCTGGCCAGGTGGGGCTGAGAGGCAGCAGGCACCGTGGCCTCAGGAGGAGCCTCACCCTTCCCACAACATGGGATGAGCCAGCTATGGTCTATGCCATGTGCCACTGTGAGCATCAGCTACGGTCATTGCTCACATCCTCTGGATAACTCCTAGGTACCGTCCCATCCTTTTCTCCAGAAATCAACTAAGATCCAGAGGAGAGCGGGACCCCACTGTTCCAAGCCCACAGGCCACCCAAATGGACATAACACCTAGGGCCCCAGCCCCACCTTGGGGCTGGCTCTTGAGGTGGGCTCCTGGACTCAGGCTCTGCAGCTCCCAGCTGGGGCTCTGTGGAAGCCTCTCATCATCCGAGGAGCAGGCCGGGGAGAGGAGGGGCCTGGCCTGTGAATGCACCCAGTCCTGGGGCCTACCTTGGCCCTTGTTAGACGCCAAGGCCCCAGGATGTGTAGGGGCAGTGAGAGTGAAGGTCGCAGCCCCTGTGCTAGTGCCCAAGGACAGCACATCAGGGGCCGGGTTGCCATCTGCAACTGGTGATGTTGACCTGTGCAGCTCGGCCATCAGGATGTCAATGCGTTGGTTGAGGATGTCGGCCATGGTCTCCAGGGCCTGCAGCCGTGCCTGCTTGTACTGGAAGTGCAGGAGGCCCGATGGGCCCAGGTGCTCAGCCTCCTGGGGGTCCAGGCAGATGCACAGCCCCCCGGGCAGGTCCTGGAGCTTCATGGGGACCAGGGAGGAAGAGGTGGACAGCAGCAAAGGGACACCACTCACGCCATTCCGGGGGCCTTTGGTGTCCAGGGTCTCAGTGCAGTTCCAGGGTCTATTCAAACACAGACAGAAGCTGTAGAAAGAGAAGAGCAAGCAGATGCTCAGCCCCAACCACAGTGTGTTGGGCAGTGCATACAAAACGCACACATGGGGCTGGAGCGATGGCTCAGCAGTTAAGAGCACTGGCTGTTCTTGCAGAAGACCCATGTTCGAATTCCAGCACCCACATGGATGGCTAACCATCTATAACTTCAGTCCCAGGGGATCAGACGCCCTCTTCTGTCCTCCTCATTGCATGACATGTATGTACTTATATACTGTGATGGCTAATCCTGGGTGTCAAATTGACCAGATCTGGGATTAACTGAAATGAGAGAGACCTTCTTGATTGGGTCATCTGAAGGTGGAAGACACACCCTAAATGTGGGTATGACCTTCTGATGGCAGCCCCTACAAAAGGCCATGGCAGAGGAGAGCGCTTGCTTTTTGCTGCTTGCCTTCTCTCTCGTTTGTGAATTCCTCTTGCTGCTCTAGACTGAAGACTAGCCAATCTTTGGGAATTCATCAGACCTTCAGTGCCAGATTGGGACTACTGAGACATCCAGCCTTGTGGACTGAGCAACTGCTGGATTCTCAGCCTCTCCAGTGTGGTGCAGCCATTGTTGGACTACT